TGGACCCCTAATATTTCCCAAAGCTCCCCCAACAGTGAAAAATAAAAAAATAAAAAAAAATTATGAAAAAAAAATAAAAAATGATTTTTTAAAAGTGAAAAACAGCCCCCTTCCCCCCCCCCCCCCCACACACACACAAAAGGGAAAGTATCTATTAAAATGCAATAAAGAATGTCCTACCCTACAACTGCACCTATTCTTCTTGTTCCTTATTAGCTAATACGTTCCCTCGAACACATGCAACATAGAAGTTTTTACAGTGAGCCTACATTCCAAGAGGTAGCAGGCTTTCAATAACTAACATGGTGTTGGGTAGAGCAAACGGTTACCATTTAGTAAAATTATTGGGTAAGGTATAATCACATTAAAAAAAGAGAAGAATAAAAAACAGTGTTCACATATTCCATTGTCACAGTTTATAAGTCTATGTCATTAACTACATAGCAGAAAAGGAGTCAGGTCAGTTGGAGTCACAGTGCGTTATGACAGGACACAAGCAAAAGCATTATGGGCATAGAAAAGTGTGATACAGTATGTCAAAAGCTACGTTGCTGCACAATGACAGGTATTAAAAGCTGCGTTACAGAAAATATTAAATACTGTAAAAGAAATTAAATGCCTAACGAAAGAAAATTCACAGTTCTGAAAAATAAAAAGGAGTTTGTTGGAAAATTCCACTAAAATATTTGTGTTTTGAGTACATTTGCTTACTGGTATTTTTGTTCTATAGAATAGTAAAAATACCAGCACATACAATGTTATACTAGGCTGGCTTATTGATACGTGGCCAGTCCTTTTACAGTCTAATCCACCACAGCACTAAATTTCAAAATGAAAAACATAGCTATCAAAGTGTTGGCCAACTGTACAAAAATGAAATTGTTCCTGAAAAGATTTAGCTCCATCTGTGGTTTGTCTTCTATCGTTATTTAAACAACACTTGTACAATAGAAGATTCAAATCAATTCTAGACATTTGAACAGCACTGTTATAGGTTTTTCTTTCAGTTTGGAAACTCTAGAGAATCCTCCTCAGAGCCTAGCCAGTTAGTTTAGCTGCAGCTTAAGAAATAAGTACACGTGGGAGATGAAAAATAACACTAAATAGCGAACTGTAAAGGTTTAACGGGCAAACACTTCTATCTTAGCGCCTAGAATATAAACTGAAACTGGGTGAGTCAGAAATGTGAATCTAAAGATGATCATGGCACAAATATGAAGGAAAGGGGGAACCGGTTAGTGAGCCATGAATGTGTCCATGTCACACACAAAGGGGGGGGGGATTCACAGCATACACAATCCATCGCTGAACAACAAAACATCAGAGGCCCAGTGGAGGTCATCACTTTCAGTGACGCTCTTTCTGCTGGATGCATCTCAGGGTGGGAGAAGAAAGGAGATTAGGAGCAAAGATGGAGTCCATAGGGTTAAATAGGTCATCTGACATCTGGAAGGGAACTCTGGCTAGGCAGGGGGATGGCTCCATTGTTAGGGTGACAATTCTGCCTCAGACTTTGGAAGTAGGATGCCTGCACTGGTTTGTGCCCCTGCAAAGCACAAACGGCTTCCTCAATGCTGAACCAGCGGCGCTTCCGTCCTATAAAGAGGTGTCTCCATTAACGCACATTATGATCACAAGCACCTTATTTAAGTCAACATGAATTTATGATTATTGGAAACCTCATTGACCTGCATACATTTCCAAATAATATACACATATAACTACCTGTAATCAGGTTATCCCACATACCAATGCTAACAGAATCCTCCCAATCGTCCAGGACCTCGGTCACAGTCAGGACATAAACAAATGTTCTGTGTTTCCTCTCAAAGTTCTGTAGAGAAATAATTGGGCGGGGGAAAAAAAAATAATCTTCTCATGAGCAAAACACAGGTTTAGTTTAAGTATAACCCTCATTTCTTTTCTGCATAAAATAGACACGTATTACTAATCATAGCACAGTGGTGCTGCATTATACAAATACGGTAGATGTTCATTTCTATTTAGGTCAAGTCTCCAGCAAAGGGCCAGCTCTGCCTAAAGGCCTGGTTCACACCTGGGCGTTTTAAAACGCTCAACATGTGAAAACCAATAATTGCCTATGGGCAACATTGTATTGTGTTAATTTTCTTAGAGGCCTGCGTGATCTGTGACCGCACAGCAATCATGCACGATACTGTGCGGATTGCCATGCTGTCATAGAGTCGCCCACCACTGCTGGTGCCATTTTCTAATGGCACCCTAGTCGCGCCAGGCGGATTGCGCGGGATTCTGCCCCTGCAATCGAACACAATTGCAGCTAAAACAGCCGCAAAAAAAAATAAAAAATGCATGTACCTTTTTTTCTGTGATTGCTGCGCGGATGTAACCCCATTGAAAACAAAAAGGCCGCGTGGCAACCGTTGTGTTCAACTGCACATGATAGCACGGTCCTAGGACACGCATCACCTATGTCTGCACTAGCCCTTAAACTGTAGTTCAACATTATTGAAGGGTTACTTACTTCAAACACACCCAGCAGACGACCCAAGGTGCCTTTAACTCCAGCCTATTGGAAACAAGTAGCAAAGTAGAAAAATTCATTGATCTTTGTTTATAAAATATGAACAAAAATCTGCAAATACAGGGAGTGTTTTCTAGTGTCCACATCTCATAATCATAACATGCTCAACATCTCTGCATATAAAATGAATGTCATTACAAAATGAAGGGGTTGCCAGTACTATCCTCCTGAAAAAAATGCTAGATTCCTGGCTCTCTCTATCCTTTTTTTTATATAAGGGTTTCAATTTATTTAAAAAGGTAAATAAAATGGTACTGAAGATGTAGCAGACATCCATTGGGGAGTGAGAAAGGTGTGACAACTCCAGGGCTGGGTGGGGCTACAATACAAAACACAAAAATTCCCCAGCCTCAACCTGCCAGCCAGCCTGCAACCAAACAAGTAGCCCTGTCAACAGTATGCGTTAAAATCAGAGGTTTTAGTTGCACAAACTTTTGGCCAAAAATATGTAGAAGCCACACTGCCGCGCCATGGCACCTCTGCAAAGTGTGGTCCTAACTCTATGTATCCGAGTCTCCAAGTGTGAGCATATTAATGAAGTTGATAAATTGCATGCAGGTGTACCAGGAGGTAGCCAACTCCTCCTAATAAGGTGCAGGGACGCACTGTAGGCCCAATTCACGTGCGAGGCACAGTATACTGCAACTTTTGATGTCTTATTCAATGGAAAAGACATCATGCCAATAGGCACACATGGTTCCAGTCCTATAGATTTCATCATCTTTCACAAAGTTGTAAAAAGCAGTCTTTAGTACAATGTGAACGACTATTATTTCAAACTTTTTATCAAAAGATGGTACACAGAAAATAGGGCAACTACCTCTTCAAAAACTTCTCGAACAGCTGCTGCACTGGCCTCCTCCTCTGGCTCCAGACCTCCGCCTGGGACAATCCAACGATCTGGATAGCGACTGCTGCTTACCAGCAGTACCTGGGAAAACATTTATAGATAGCCATGTCAAGCTTCATTTCTTCACTCAATAAAAATGCCCCTAGTGGAGTTTAAAATGCCACTTCAGGCAAACAGATATATAAACACACATACATATATAATGAGGGTCCTTAAATCCTGTTTGCAAGGTTTAGCACTTTTGCAGCAAAACTGGCATAAAACTTACTAGGGCTGCAGCTAACGATTATTTTCATAATCAGTTTAAAAAAAAAAAAAGATAGTCATTTATTTAAAATAAAATACAGAAATGCAGTGTTTCAAACAATGTTTAATTCAGAATAAAACGATATGCACATTATTTTTTTAAATCGCACTGCAACGCAGTGCATTGCAGTACCACGCGTTCCAGTGCAGGCAATCAATACGAACGGGAGGTGCATTTGGGATTCATTGAAATGAATGGCACCGCAACGCACCTCCTGCAGCAGTTTGTCAGGCAGTAACTGAAAATGACTTTCCCCGCCTTTTATATATTTTTTTAATAAAATTATTTGCATTATACTAGACATTTTAATTAGTTTCATGGCTTTAAAATAATGTGAATTGTAAAACTCTAAGCCAATATAATAACCAACCTTTTATTTAAAATAACACAAAAAAAAATTCTTTTTTTAATGTTAGTTTAACTTAAATTTTTTTATTTTAGTTTATTTAAACTTTATTTTTTTTAAACTTTATTTTTTTTTCCATGGAGAAAGTTCTCCATCATAAACCTACTTTATATTTGATGCATGTTCTTTTTTACATCGCATAACAAATGGCTGCCCACATTTTTCATGCACTTTTCTAAGAAAAGTTTTTCACTAAATTGACTTTTCCTCTGCAACACAAGGGAGGTGGGGAGGTACTGTTTACGATGATAAACCCCATCTGTAATGTGCTGCCAGATCTCATCAGTTGTAAACTAGATTTGAACATTGTCCTAACAGAGTTAAATACCTAGAAGCTTGGCTTCTTGCATTGTATGTTGAATAGAAGAAGCTCAATGTGTCCCTAGGCTTTCTATAGGGAGAGGCAGAGCTTCCGGTATTTTTTCAGTATGCTGTGTGAATAGGAACACATAAACTTGTAGACTTCTAGAATGTACACCAGTTTGGTGGGTTTTTAATGTTGCAAAATGTGCAGCGAGTCACAAACATAGATTGAAAAAGGAAGAAAAAAAAAGAGAAAACGTTGCGGTTAGTTAGCATTTGGTCGCAAACACGATCATGAATTCCTCCAAAATAGAGGTTCTCGCAAATTTGTCTGTGAAAATGGGAATAGTTTAATAGGTCAAATTGAAATGTACACTCAGAACTACCTGATTCATAGTAGTGATCGTCCATAAATAGAATAGCTCAGTCTGAAGACAAGGCCTGCTGTTATGACAGATACTTTTGATGCACAGTCTTTTCTTAAAACCAGTGGTGCTCTGGGAATCATTTGCCACATGTTTTTTTTGCAAAGCACAGATTTGTAATAAAAACCACACACACCAAATATTAAAGTAAGCTTTTACTGAACTAGAACATACACTATAATTACCAAAAGTATTGGGACGCCTGCATTTACACGCACATGAACTTTAATGCCATCCCAGTCTTAGTCCGTAGGGTTCAATATTGAGTTGGCCCTCCCTTTGCCACTATAACAGCTTCAACTCTTCTGGGAAGGCGTCCACAAGGTTTAGGAGTGTGTCTATGGGAATGTTTGACCATTCTTCCAGAAGCGCAATTGTGAGCTCAGGTACTGATGTTGGACGAGAAGGCCTGGATCGCAGTCTCTGCTCTAATTCATACCAAAGGTGTTCTATCGGGTTGAGGTCAGGACTCTGTGCAGGCCAGTCAAGTTCCTCCACCCCAAACATCGCTCATCCATGTCTTTAAGTACCTTGCTTTGTGTATTGGTGCGGAGTCATGTTGGAACAGGAAGGGGCCATCCCCAAACTGTTCACACAAAGTTGGGTGCGAGAAATTGTCCAAAATGTCTTGGTATGCTGATGTCTTAAGAGTTCCTTTCACTGGAACTAAGGGGCCAAGCCCTAACCCTGAAAAACAACCCCTCACCATAATCCCCCCCTCCACCAAACTTTACACTTGGCACAATGCAGTCAGGCAAGTACCAATGTCCTGGCAACTGCCAAACCCAGACACCTCCATCGGATTGCCAGAGAAGCGTGATTAGTCACTCCAGAGAACACGCCTCCACTTCTCTAGAGTCCAGTGGCGGCGTGCTTTATACCACTGCATTCAACGCTTACCATTGCACTTGGTGATGTAAGACTTGGATGCAGCTGCTCAGCCATGGAAACCCATTCCATGAAGCTCTCTACGCACTGTTGTTGTGCCAATCTGAAGGCCACACAAAGTTTGGAGGTCTGTAGCTATTGACTCTGCAGACAGTTGGCGACTTCTGCACACTGTGCGCTTCAGTATGCGCTGACCCCGCTCTCTCATTTTACGTGGCCTACCACTTCAAGGCTGAGTTGCTGTTGTCCCCAGTTGCTTACACTTTGTTATAATACCACTAACAGTTGACCGTGGAATATTTAGTAGCCAGGAAATTCCACGGAACACCTGAATCCAATGATTTGGAGGGGTGTCCCAATACTTTGGGTAATATAGTGTATGTTCACCTCCTGTCTGGAAGTGCATTGAATATTTTAAAAGAGTACACATTTTCTGCATTTAGCCTTAGCGGGCCCTCTTGCCATCCAGCTGGATCGCTGCAGGATGAGTAGAGTAAGAACCTTCTACTGGAGTGAATAGAGCTTGCAGCACACATGTATGGGAGGAGCAGGACCCAACAGCAATTATTTTCAAGCATGGGGTGTGCCACACAGTGAACTTTTCAGAGGAGCAAGATAGGCAAGTAATTGACTTGTCAGGGATGCTGGGGGAAAGGAACCACCTACGGGCAAAGCACAGATTCACTTTAAAGCAGAACTTAAGCTAGCTCGGTTGGGCTCTTCCCATAATGTGCAAGCACACTATACTTGCACATTTAGGCACACCATGCCTACAAACAAGGACAATTTTGATTATATATTTTCAGGAAAAAATTAGAACCCACAAATTTTCTCTGAAACTGACCAAATTAATTAGCATCCATCCTCTTTTACATATTTAAAAAAAACAAAACAACACAGCTTTTGAGCTAACAGAATGTTTTATCAAATAATAAAACAAATGAAAGCGGCATGGACAAAAACAAGGCTTCCTAACATTTTGCTACACAACCTTTAGCGGCAATCAGTGCCAACAAGTGATTTCTGGAGCTCTCTGCACCTGCCTGCAGGCAGTTTGGCCCACTCTTCTTAAGCAAACTGCTCCAGCTGTCTTAGGTTTGAAAGGTGTCTTCTCCAGGCTATGTTTAGACTCTTTCCATAGATGTCCGATGGCTCAATATTCAGATCAGGGCTCATAGCAGAACAATCCAATGTTTTGTACTTGGCCATTCTCGGGTGCTTTTAGCTGTGTGTTTTCAGTCATTATCCTGTTGGAAGTCCCATGACCCGTCAGTGAGAAAGAGCCGACACTGGTAGTGTGTTTTGCTCCAGAATTACTTGAGTCTTGAGATTTTGTTATGCCTTGCACAGACTCGAGGCACCCTGTGCCAGACACAGCAAAGCAGCCACAAAACATAGCCAAGCCCCCAAGCATTCTCCTTGTTTCGCAGTGTTCTTCATCGGTGTTCTGTCTCATCTTTCCAAAGGACGTTCTCCCAGAAGCATTGTGGCTTGTCAATATGCATTTAAGCAAATCCCAGTCTGGCTTTCTTTTTATGTTTTTCGATCAAAAGTGGAGCCCTCCTCAATCTTCTTCCTTTGAGCTGTCACTCAAAAACCCCCTGAAAAAACAGACAGACTTCGACCCTGCAGCTGTGGTAAAATTACAAATCCCATCATGCCCCTGCCTCTGTCAGAGTCTTGCGATGCCTGGTGGAAATTGTAGAACTTTAGCTGGCGAGCTAAAGTTTGCCTACCCCAGATTTATAACTTCTCACACTTTCTTTGCTTTACTCTATGCCATACCAATGGCATGCAGGGCACATGAGATAAATGCATTTAATGTCATTACTTGTATTACTTTTCAGGAGGAATGAAGCATTGTTTCAATGAACTGTAGGGGTACCAACAAATTTGTCCACGTCTGATAGTATGCCCTCCTTTAGCACCGGCAGGTCAAGACTCGCTGTTACTGCTCCATATCACTCGGCTGTAGATCCTCAAATCATCTCTGAATTGGTGCTGACACTGTCCTTCCTTCTGGAGGGTCCTGTAATGGGACTACAATCTCATGTTTAATTAGCTAATTTGCACCAATTAAGAGATGATTTGAGGGTCTACAGCCGAGTGATACACAAATAAGATACAGTTTTGTTAATAGTTGGGGTATTTGAATGCATTTTTAAGATTTAACTCCTGAGTTTAGTGTCACTTTAACTTGATAATTATTATTATTATCTTTTAGGCCTTGCATAGATAAGCACCCAGCAGGTAAACAAGAACAAGTGCTTTGGTGAGAGTGTTTCAAGGGACAAGTGGGGGGGGCAATGAACCTAAATAGACACTTCATTGCAACCTGATGACTTCACTGAATATTGGTGCCATTATCATTCATTTATCCAACCCAGCAAGACTGTTAACACAGTTTAAAGTTAACCTATAAACAAATGTTATCTTTAAAGTACAGTTCCCTTATCACTAGTTAATAAGCAGTGAAAGGTCAGATTTTCCCAGCACAACCACAAGGTTCTGATACTAATCAGGCATAAGTAACTAATTTCTCTCCATAAATGACCAGATGCTAGCAGAATTATTTCAGAATTTTTACTATGCAACACCACAGATGCTATAAGTTAGGAAAGACACCCAGAAAGGTAAAAGGTAGACAAGGGCAGCCCAGGAGAGGTCATTTATTGACATGGGAAGCAGCAATACATTTCAGGTGGGAGTGAGTCTGTTGGCACCAAATGTACTTGTGCATTGGGGTTAGGGATGCAACTAACGATTATTTTCATAATCAATTAGTTGGCCAATTATTTTTTTTTATTAATCAAATAAAAAAAAAAAAAAAAAAATGAAATACCATCCTTAATTTAAAATAAAATACACAAATGGGGTGTTACAAAGTTTGCTTCAGAATAAAACTGCATGCACAATTTTTAGCATCACTGCAATGCCAGGCATTGCGGTACCGTGCGTTTCAGTGCGAGAGATCGAACTGCAGGCGGGAGGCGCGTTTGGGGTGCCACTGAAATGAAAAGCACCGCAGTGCACCTCCTGCACCATTTTTTACCTTACTGTTAGGGTCTCTGGTCTAAACAGCCCCTTGATATTTCCCTTTTGAAATAGAAAAAAAAAAGGAGATTGGAGGACACAGAGCCCTCAATCTTTTTCTGCAGCTCCAGCACTCAATGAACAGAAAGCACTCAGTAAAGAGGCTTTCTGTTCACTCCAAAATTGAGGAGATCGTAAACAGATACTAATGTCCACAATCATGAATGAACAGGAAGTGATGGAGAGCACTTCCGGTTTGTTCATAATTGGGGACGCAGTATCTGAATACTATGTCCTCAATTATTTACCAACATCGGAGTGATCAGAACTGATCACTACGGTGTGTGAATATTACAGGGAACGATCAACAAATATTTCACATATTTGCTAATCATCCTGCAGCTCTCCTCCCTGCAACGCCCGGCCTCCTGACAGCTTTCTCCTCCCCGTTGGGTGCCGGCAGGTGTATCCCCGCTGCCTCTGCCAATAGAGGCGGGGGAGAGTAGCGGGGATTGGAGGGGACACAAACCGCAGCAGGCTCCCAGCATAGAAGAGAAAACTGCATAGCCAATGCGGCAGGGGTGGGGGTTGGTGGTGCTCTCTTTACCGCTGGGCACCGGCTGCAGGGGTCTGTGTGTTCTCCGATTCCCGCTGGCTCCCGGGGCGAAGGGGACCCAGATCAACTAATCGATAATGAGCATAGTAGGCAACTATGCTCATTATCGATCAATTGGTTGCAGCCCTAATTAGGGTGCCATTCTAAATTAAGGCAACCCATCACAATGAACGGCCAATAGGAATGTAAAAGGGGTGGGGTTTAGCAGCAAGCTTCCTGGACGTGTTGAAACTTTGCCGGTCAGAAAGGTCCAGCATTTGGCTGTGTGTGCAGCTTGTTGCCTACACTTGCCCAGGAAAATCATAAGAGGGGAAAAGAAAGCAAAATACAATTGGGTGCTGTGACCGCATATATTTCCTGTAAAAGACTTTGATAAACGGGAGCATATTTATGTACATCAGAACATTTTACAGCACGGTACATCCGTTCTAAAAACAAGGACTTTTTTGGAGAACATTTTTTCCATCCTGCTTCTTGGATTTTGTTTTTTTGTCACTATGGTCGGAAATGACCATGGATTTTCCCCATTGAAAAATTGAACAAACATTTCAGAAATGGATTTGTGATAAACGAAATTCTACTGGTGTATGGTCAGCTCTATTTAGATAGCTGGCAGGAACAAACTGACTCTCTGAAAAAGCTTTGTGCCTGGTGCAAAATGCGTCAGTCCATCAGACGATGAACAACGGTTTGCATTTCAGTGTACAGTCAGATGGTAAAAAAGGATGTCTTCGTTGGAGGCAAGCTAAGCCAGCACCAGGGATGTGGTTATGGAGCAAGCAGTCTCATCTCCCCTGAAGCAGAATGTGGAAAGTTTCTACAGATCATTCTGCTGCATTACCTATCACTATACAATCTGATTGTATAATAGAACACCGGGCTGAAAGGCAATCAGGAACCCGTGCGGCGGGTCATGACCCACCGCCCGACTTACTGATAATCCGGGACCCACTGATGCCGGTATCGGTAAGTACCCAAAAATATTGGTACTGGATACTGAAAAACCAGTATCGGTGCATCACTAGGTTGTACAATCTCTGTTAGCTCTACCAACAGGTATGTAGTGAAAGGAACTGCCTGATTGGATACAAATTGATTGGATGGTTTCGGTAGGTCAAAGTTTTGGTAGAGCCCACATTGATTGTACAGGTGTTGTATGGCCAGCTTGTAACGTGTACGGTGACCCTTGGTTCTGCAAGGACTAGCCTGAAATGACACATATTGCATGGATTGTATGGGCCTTCCCTTATATTACACAATTTAGATACATTTTTATGTGAGATCACAACGTATGATGACCTGAACTGGATGGACTCCACCACGGTACTTCACATCACGGCGCTGATTTTCTCTTTGTGTATACATGTCACATAGAACTCCATAGCAATCCAAGCCAATAGGCTCAGACATCGGCCCATAACACAGCCACCGCCACATACGCGCTGTGCACAGACAATAGTCCCCACACACGCCTTCTAGCATCACCCTTCGCAGCTAGCGATATTCCATTGTTTACACCGTGCCGTAGTTATAAACAGCCCACCCACACGAACAGACAAAAGACTGCAATATACACACTTCATCCTCGGTCCCGTTCCGGAAGCACACGCACGCCGCCCGTTTCTTGTACCCATCCCGGTCGTATGTCCGGGTCTGGTTGTTCTTTAGCTTCATCGGTAGACGCCGAATTCCAAGCGGGCTACAGGACCTGTGCTGACGTCACGATCAGTTGACTGACCACATGGGTGGGAGGAGCTATAGGCCTGTCAGTGGTGGGTGCGGCAGGTGGCTGCGCTGCCATTGGTCACCGCTGGGGTTATTTCCGTGCCTTTACTACAAAGCAGGCATGGCGGACACCCGTTTTGGCGGTGGGGGTTGTAATCACTGCGCACAAAACCTGGCAGCAGTATTTTCTATCTCCGCTCTGGAGTTCTTACTATACTGCACATGGATATCTGCTTGCTGGATTTTTATTGTCATTTACATGCACTTTCTGCTCGTCCTATTGTAAAATAGGCCTATGTCGGGGGTTGGCAACCTAGGCACGCCAGTGGTGATCAAACTACAAATCCCATGAGTCATTGCAAGACTGACAGCCACCAGCATGACTTCCAGTGGCAGATTATGGATTTTGTATTTTTTTTTGTTTAATCCTTTAAGATTATTCAATAGGAACAAAAGCAGAGTTAGTGCTGCATCTCAAAGCATTTTAAAAAGACCAGATTCACATCCAAATGACACGAATATTAAAAACAAGGAATTTCTAATACAATAATGAGCCATAGCTATATGACAAGGACGTTGTGTATCACAGGCATAGGCAATCTTGGCACTCCAGCTGTGCTGAAACTAGAAATCCGGCCATGCCTCTGCGAGTCATGCCTGTGGCACTTAGGATCTTGCAATGTCCCCATAGGATTGGTAGTTCCACAACAGTTTAAGTGCTGAGGTTGCATACCCCAGTGTATCATGTATAATAAACCACTCCTGTGGAGGTCAATATTAGGGCAGGTTCACACCATTTTCCAGTGCATTGCGTTTTTGCCGTGATTAGAATTTGTGTTTTTTTTTTTGCTTGAAAGGAGAACTATGGTGTCAGGGCTTTTCCCCATAGTTCTCATTAGGGTAACACGAGGACACAAACTAGCATCCTCCAGTCACCCTAAGCTTAGTATACCGCGAGCTATAGCTCGAGGTATACTGAGACACCGCACGCAATATACTGCGAACTACAGCTCGCGGTATACTGAGACGGCGCAGCTGAAGCGGATCCCGCCAATTATGTCTGGATCCGCCCAGCTGCGTGACTGACAGCTGGCTCTGCCTATCTAGAGGCAGAGCCAGCTGTACCTTCCCCCGTCCGTTCCACCAGTCAGCACTGGAGGATCGGACAGGGGAGGGGAATCCAGTCTCTGCCGCGACAGGATCGAGACGTGAGCGAGCGCCGGTATGTGTTCGCTCACTTCCCGATCTAACCTGTGACAGTCTTTGTCACAGGTCGGCTAGAACTATGAGGTGAGTGAAAAGCACTCACCTCAGAGTTCTCCTTTAACCCCTTGCCCATGATAAAATGACGGGTGGCCGGCGGATCCTTCCCAGCAGGTGGACAAACCTATACATGCTTTTTTTTTTTTTAGCGCGCGCATAAGCATAATGCCACCGGGAATGTGTACAGCTGTTACGGCTAGAGATGGTCCGATACCATTTTTTTAAGACCAAATACCGATACTTTTTTCAAGTACTCACCGATACCGATTACCAATACTTTTTCTTAAAGGGACAGGTCACTTTTTTTTAAAGCAATACAAATCATGATTTTAGGTCAGTTTCTTATTATTATGAAGAACATGAAATGAATATTCATCATGCCATTGCTAACTAAGGCTTGTATCCCCATAGTGGGGAAAATAGATGAGCCCATGTCCAGACATGTCCATCTAAATATTCATTTAATTTCATTATTCAATGTTTTGTTTTTATTTTATAAAAATATAAATTTTATAATATTAAAAAAAAGACATTGAATAATGAAATGAACTGAATATTTAGATCATGCCATTGCACAAAACATTTTTTTTTAATGAAATATAAAAGATAAGGCTACAACGAGTAAAACGATACCCAACATGCCCAGGTTACTCCAAAAGACCCCCAGTGTCACCTTTACACTGGAAATAAGCTATTGAAGTGCAGATCGCACTGCCATAGCTTATAGCTGGGCTGCAGGAGCCCAGAACTGACAGCCCAGGGGATCAATGAAGTTAGTCGACCTCCTCCCCAGCTCCCCGGACACCGGTCCCGTAGGAGGGACAACGGAGCCCGGGAAGCACGGCGGGGGTGCTGGCGACGTACACTGTACGTCGTCAGTCACGGAGGGGTTAATGTCTTTTTTTTTAAATATATGTAGTTAAAAAACAGCATTTTTGTGCCCAGCCCCCATGCGGTGCTGCAATACTAACCTGCTGTGTCTTCTTCTCCGTGTCACAGCCTAGTCCATCTGCTCCATTCTCTTCTCCCGCTGATTGCATGATGACAGGCTTCCTCACCAGTCACTTCCGACTAGTGAGGAAGCCTGTCAATCGGCCCATCAGCGGGAGAAGAGCTCAGAATGGAGCAGATGACTGAGGACTTGGGAGGAGGACTTCACGGCCATCTTGTTTCATTGAAGACGCCATGGAGGTCCTGGTATGCGGCACAGGTACTCGTTTTTTGTATGGGAGTATTTGCACGAGTACTCATGCAAATACTCGGTATCGCTGCCGATACCGATGCTTGTATCGGTATAGGAGCATCCTTAGTAACCGGCCGTTTCATACAAGCGTTCGGCTGGCTCTATAGCAGTCCGATCGCTTGTATATCCCTGTAGTATGCCGTGTCGCCCCTCCTTTGCCGGTTACCCCCCCCGGGACCCAGAACACCGGCTGCTCGTACAGATCATTCCCCCACCGCAGATCTCTCCTCCTCTCTAAAAGGTGGAAACGATGTGTATTACATCACTTCCACCTTTAGCTGTCGTTTCTCTGGCTGCTATAGCCAGGGAAGAAGCTGGTGAAGCAGATCTGTGCTTCATCAGCTTCCTTGGTAGACCCTAGGTGACATTAGGGGTCTTAGAGACCCTTGATATGTCCATATAGAGCAGTGGTCCCCAACCCCCGGTCCGCGGACCGGTACCGGTCCGCGGATTAAATGGTACCGGGCAGCACAGTCTCAGTGCGGTCCTGCAATATGGGGCAGTGCAGGGTCCCGGTGTTCGAACACCGGGGCCCCGCACTGCCGACGGGCTTTACAGTGAGGGGGCGGGTCCAATTTGCCACGCATCCGATCGCACTACGGGAGATGGCTGCAGTGCCTTTGACTTCAATGCACCGCAACGCCCCCTCCCACCCCTGAACTCAGCGGGAAGATTTGTGAGTGATTGCTGTGCGTTCCAGCAGCTACCGCTCTGGAAAGCACCGTAATTTGTGTGAACAAGCCCTAAGGGCCCAGTCCCACCATAAGGAGTGCGTGCCAGTGCGTTCAGCCTCTGGAATGCAACCCGGCGGCTCACT